TCTCTCTGCTAATATTGCTTCGCTCTTTGATTTCTTACTCAATCAGATATCTTACTTTCCTCTCATATTATTTTCCGTGTATATGTCGTGTGGATTACACCTAAACTACAAAGATGTACCTCTATACACTACATAACGTCTTAACACCAGGTAAAAATTATACTCAAGTACTTATTTTATTGTAATAAGCAGGAATTTATCTCTATATATACAATCAATTGCTGTCCGTTAGTCTCGCTAAAACTCCAAAACGGCTCGAACGATTTCATTAAAATGTTCTTGTGTGCATTTGATTGGGTGGTTAGATGGATGTGTTAGATTCACAATTGAACCCGGTAGGTGCTGCTGTCGAGATCCAAAAATAACCCGTGAGAAGCCGGGGCGGATTGCTAGTAATAAATAAAATGAAGCCCAACTTCTTCGCTTGACGTTCGAGGTAAGCAATAGAAAAAACATGTTCATATAGAAATGTGATGAGAATGATTTTAATGTTCGCTGAATACGCCCGTTTCATAGATATAATTTTAATATATAAAACTGGAAAAATGCAATTCTACTGTAACCCTACTGAAATGAACTCTTTGAATGCGCTAAAGGGTTCCGTTTAATCTTAGATAACACTGACATTCATAAAATTAGAAGTAAAACCGAACATTGCTTTAAAGAAAAGATCGGTCAGATTAAACAGCCAACAGACAGCAGCCTTTGGGATGGCTCAGAAAATTATCATCAACTTGCCGCACTCGACTAAGTGCAACAAAGAGCCAATAGGCTTATCGGCGACAAAAAGCTGGTGGAAACTAAGCCTCACAGCTTAGCTCACTGCCCCCAAGTTGCTTGATTGTCGGTCTTCTACATATTGTACTTTATAGTGTGCCCATGAGGTTCATAAGCTTATTATTAATATGGTAAATCAAATAGCAACCTATTAAAGTAAGGAAGAATAATTGAAAAGAGGTCACGGTACCAGTATTTAAAAACAGTATGTAACATAGGGCAAAGTTAAAAACTTCGTCCATATTTAATTGATTAAGAGAACCAATTAAGAATAAAAACAAACCAAAAAAGAAGGTGTTAAAATCCATAAGAAATCGATACATTACACTTGTAGAAATATGTCAAAGATTTAATTTAACGGATAATTTTATTCCCAATATTCAGTATTCATAATTCAGATGATTCGTTTTAAAATAATACTTATCAAGATACAATATCACTCACCTTTTATATAAAATTATGGATTCGTCGCCAATATCACATTTTTCTAATAACTATAAACAATAAAACGAAGCTTTGTAACTAACAATCGAATTAAATAAATGTAAAAGTTATTCAAAAAGTTATGCTAGAAAATGAAAGCAAGAAATTTGATAGGCACATTTCTTTTAAAATAGTAATCAAAATCACTACATCATAATAGTAATCCACAAAGATTATATAATCACTACATCAAAGAGTATATAATCCCTACGCTTTAGTAATAATAGCACATTTGTGTTAAAATCAAATACCAACATGTGACAACCATGGAGTAATTACACAATTACAAACTTAAGCTCTTTAAGCTAGTAATTCCTAATTACTCCGAGGTGACATAAATATCTTTCAACAGAATAAATTCTAATCAACGAAAACCTTTTGCATTACCTACGCGGAATAAAAATAGGCTATCAACTATAAAATACGATTCAGATATGACTGGCGCGTCCGCGTGATTTAGACCCATCAGAGCGTATGTATAGGTATTTCATTGCAGCTATACATATCTTCCAAGTACGCTTGAGCAATTTTGCATCCGTATTTGTAGATCTATTATGTGAAGTTAATGTGAAGCGGCTATGCCCCACTTGAAAGTAAAGCATGCAAGCAAACGCTGCATTACGCAAAACGCACGAGCGACTCTTCTTTCCTTCTTTCCGTCCAAGTTTTCTTTCAGATGAGAGCGTTTATTCTTTCAGTCCAAGTTTCAAACTGTCGGTTTCTTTAAATTCAAATTCAAATTAATTTATTTATTTGTGAATACAGTGAGTTAGGTGTTAATAAAATTTATAGTAGGTATCGTGTATTCTACCACAGTGTGGTGTACAAATATATTTCTTTACGTTATAGTAAAGAAAAGCAAAATGGATTACTTTTAAAATTGATTGCACATTATAAAAATACAATAATCATCTGTGTAGGTGGTATTAAATATTCACAAAAATACTAAATATTATAGGTGAAAAGCATCGTGCAATGATACCCATGACATATAACACATTTCATAATGGCGCCTTTACGTCTATATTAAGAAAAAACAAAATGAAGTGCCTAAATAAAAATGTCATCTTTTCTAATTATTATTACTATTCTTAAACACACGAGTCAACAATAAATATTGCATCTTAGGCTAAAAAAATGAGGGTATTTGGGCACTGCTCACGCAGGTGCTAACAAACTATTGTATTGGAGAATAGAAAGATATTGTATATGTATAGCATACAGCAAAGCATAATTAATTAATTTAAATTATTAACAAACATTGACTATAAGAAATTAATATATTACCCACACAATCCTTGAGCCTTACCCGCCTTTCTCATTAGTAATATGAGACGTACTTATTGTAAATTATAGATATCTCTACACTTTTGACGTGACTGCACAAGTTGACATTTCGAACTCGTTAGTGACCGTAGCAAAAATGCATGATTAGAAATAAACCGGTGTGCACGAACATACTTTCTTAAAGTTTATTTTAGATTAAGGCCGCACTGCAAAATTTCGCCGTGAGTTTTTTACTATCGTGATATAAATTCCGTGTACTGAATTTCACTTAATAAAAACTCCTCTCAGTTTTTGTCATTTTCTAATCATGTACAACAGAAGTAGAGTCTTGATATATTTTACAAAAGTACAGAAGGCGTGTCAAAAGATATCTTTAAAAGTGGATTCAACTTAAAGCCTCAGAACCTATTAAAAGGAATCTATTATTACATTTCTACAGGACCTGTGAAAATGTAGTTAAATATTCTACACACACTTCCATAGAGGTCTCTTATAAATGAGAAATTTTAATTGTTCTACATATGTACATACAAAATCAATCTATGTAGGTATGATAGAAGTAAGATAAAAAGCGCATGATTTTTTTCGCAGTACCTACTTAGCCTTAATGAAATGCACAAAGATTTGTTACAAACGAACGTGGACAAATTTAGGAACAAACCATATTAGACAAGGGTTTTTATGAAAAAAGAAAACTGCTTAAAGTAATTTTTTTCAAAATTAACATATTTGAACATTTGGATAACAAAGTTGTCTATTTAAATTGTATCGGTTTAAAACCTATTTTGAAATTTTCATTAAAATAAATGATAAGATACGGATATGTTCAGGTCAAGCTTATAGTATGTAACTCCATTCCAGTCCATGAACACCTGCGGCCAACACCAAACAAAGAAAGATAGATGCGTTATCAGCTCTGAAGGCCTCACAGCCTGTCATCATATATATACACCTTAGCCCGGAGCATAACAATGCAAGCAATGCTATTTGGCGGCATAAATAGCTAAGAGCGTGGTACCTACCTAGACGTTGAAGTAGGCCCTATCATCTAGCAAAAACTTCGACTAGTTAGTTTAGAAAAGTACCGATAAGCGTAGACTTTACTAATCTCTATTCTCTATACGGGGTGGCGATAAAGTTATCACATTAAATGAAAAGGCTTATCCTATATAACGTTGTTTGAACATACACAACTAAAAAAATATATAACAATTAACATTCTAGTCGCAATAGCCCTTTTTTTCGTTTTTTGCCTAATTACCTATGAACGGGAAAGTGTAGGTAAATAATTACCTATGTCGATGCCGCGTGAGCACTGCGTACCTGCCGCACCGTTGCCGCTTTTACATGTCACTTCTGGTCAGTAAACTAATATTAGCAAGGTGATTTATTTCGTGTCAATTTTTACGCTATTTATTTTGTTTGAAATATGCATTTTTTTTATTTTTAGTAGAATCGCTTATTTTATTACTTTAATCGACATATATGAACTTGTACATACCGCTGTGTTATTTAATATGATAACCTAATCACCACCCAGTATATAAAAGTCTCGATAAATCTCAAAACACATCGACTGATTCTGTTGAAATTATTTGTGTGTGTTTCAATGGGTCGCTAGATGGTTTAAATTCACAATTGGACCCTGTAGGTGGCGCTGTTGTCAAGATCCAGAAATCACCCGTGCGAAGCCGGGCGGATCGCTAGTAAGTAATAAGTATAGTAATATAGTCAGACTATGTCGTTTACTCCGGTCGCATTACGGGTGTCTTCATTACAAATAGTACAACACAAAGAAAATTAAAAAAATAGCACTTTCCGCAGATCGTTGAGCGACTTTCAGCTTCCTTATACGGTCAGTACATTAAAAAAAATACATTACTGCAGAAGAGAATTATTTTAGTTATACGAGAATATACATTATGAGGGCTTAAAAAAATACATTTTCACTTCTCATATCATGGCTATCATTTCAGGCGACTAGGAATTTACTCATGAGGCCTCACGTAGTTGCCAGTACAACAGTTATGCTCTGTTATTGCACCAGATGTAAAATACCCAGGTTGGCAGTGGCAAACAGCGTAAAGGATGCAAGCCATCTGCGCTAAGGATTCCTTAACTATTTATGAAATATGACAATCGTGAAGAATTCTTCTTCAGCTCAGTCCAGCAGTGGAATGGCTACAAGATTATAATGATGAAGAAGATTATAATGATTGGATTATATAGACATTTAAATAAATAAATGATTTTAAAGGACTATTCAATAACTTTCATCAAATCATTAATTTAATAATAACAGAAAGAAAATAAAACACCAATGCAATTACATTAAAATGTTTATTTATTAATTGTTTTAAATTGGGAAGTTGACCGTTACATTAATTATGAAACCATTCCAGTGTACGACACCCTAACATAATACGATAACATGTGTACCAGAATGAGTTTTACTATTTACTCTCGCGAGGTGTAAAAACTGCAGAGAATGGCCTAGGCGCAGAAATCAATCCGATTATCGGATCGGCAGATGGCAGAATGCCGTCGCTGCAATCAATTTTAAACTTTTGTAATATGCCGACGATGACAATAAAAATAAACGACTTAGCCAAGGCGTCCCCGGGACATCGTCGCCGACCTGGGAAAATTTTCATTTCTGAATAAAAGACACAACAAATAAGCATAAAAATAATAGGGTAGTTTTTTATTTACGGGTATAGCGAAAATGTTAATACTAAAAATTATACTATTACTTCTGGAAGCGATACGCGTTGTAATATGAATAGATATAACAAATTTTATAGCAATGCATAGAAAATAAACAAACAAACAAATATAAAATTTTTGAAACCTTCGCCAGCGGGCACACAACAACTTTCATTCGTTTTTTCGTAATCAAATGAATGTTATAGCAACGCATACTGAACAAACAAAGAAACATTCATATCATATTGGCCTTAGCTTTAAATAACCTATAGCTATAATAGTATAATTGGAATAAATATTTCAAGCTATATTATATGAATACTTAGTAACCGTAAAGTGGCGGTGTATGAATACGAGTATCTACTACCCCATATCGTCAAGAGGATGTCGTAAAAGGCGACTAAGGGATACTGAAACATAAATATTGTGTGTGCGTGTGTGTGTGTGTGTGTGTGTGTGTGTGCGTGTGTGTGTGTGTGTGTGTGTGTGTGTGTGTGTGCGTGTGTGTGTGTGTGTGTCTGCGTGCGCGCGTGTATGTGTGCGTGTGTCTCTCTCTCTCTCTCTCTCTGTGTGTGTGTGTGTGTGTAAGAGTATGGCAATATATGGTAATATATATGTAAGAGCATGGCTTGTAACATACATTTCTTAAGTCTTTCTCTTAACCATTTATACCAAAAAAGCCAAAAAGCGACTTATATTAAATAAATGAAAAAGAAAAGTTACAATTAGTTAATTTCGCAAACTGTCACGATTCATATTGTCGACAGATTCGCTGAAAGCATAAATAATATATTTTATGACATAAACAATAATCACAAACAGAATTACAAACATCTTAGTGCCCCAATTAGCACAACCCGTAAAACCTAAAGAAAAGTATACAATTTCTTGCGCTATGCAAAATCCAAATGGAACTTGGAAAGGAAATGGAAAATCGGAACTCACCTAAACCAAACGGATACAAATGCTCTATATTTTTCAATGTACCCCGTTCATCTATAAATCTCTCCGGCTTAAATTCTCTCGGCTCTTTCCATATCTCTGGATCAAAATGTAAATCACCAACGGAACACAGTACTGTTGTTTCTTTTGGTATGAAATATCCATCTATTATAGAATCATTTAGAACTCTACGTGGACCCATTAGTGGTACTATTGTGTAAAAACGCTGAACTTCGTAAAGGAATGCTGAAGTATATACGAGCCTGTAATAAATTAAATTAATAATGCCTGTAATAAAGTATATTATTTTTCATTGCATAAATATAAAATTCTTTGTCCGACATACAATTTAATTATCTAAATTAAAAAAGAAATTATGTATTTTAAAACAAGGCTGAACAAAAAGCGAACAATGTTGTAATTAGATATTCATCACTAATCAGGTCTCACATCAAGTTAATTAAATTTAATAATTTAATAAAAGATAATTAGTAACCACCAATCAGTACATTCTCTTGTTTTATTAACAATGTCGACTGCATACCAAAACTAATTATTTGGATTAACCAGATAATCAACTCGTAATAATTGAAAATAAGTTCTTCCGTAACGAGTAACAATCATTTTGACAAATTAGAAGTAGCGTTGCAGTGCAGATATAATAAACACAACACACACACACAAACACTCACGCCTGTCACCCAGAGGGGTAGGCAGAGACTACGGACTTCCATTTGGCGCAATTCTTACACACCTCTCTCGCCTCCTTTACCTCCATATATCTACGCATACACGCTCGTCGGTTAAGGGTACTCCTAATCTGGCCCATTTTCAATGTATCGCCGATTTGGTCGATAAACCTTCGTCTGGGGCGTCCCTTCCCGACCGTGCCGTTCACTTCTGCAACATAAATATGCTTTGTCACTCTTTCATCGTTCATTCTTTCTACGCAAACAAACCACCGAAGCATTCCTTTCTTTATCCTGGTCACAACGTCATCTTGCAAACCACCCTTTTCTCTTATCACACTATTTCTCACCCTGTCATTCAGATTCTTTTACGTGGTAAAAAAACGTGGTATAGTTGTAGCACGCATGGGTCGGCTCGACCGGGGAAGGACCATGCTCTCACAGAATACCAGCGTAAAATAGCAGCTTAATGCTGCTGTGTTTCGTATGGTGAGTGTAGAGAACCGGAGGCCCTTTTTACTGGAAAAAAGGCATTCCATCTTAGTCCTCACGGGTGACAACGCATCTGCATTTTGATTCGCAAACGAGGATAAATGTAAATATCTATGAGCCACAGCAACCACTTACCATCAGGTGGACTATGTGCTCGTTTGTGCTAGCCTATAAAAAAAAGATTCAGCCTTAGCATACTCTTTAAGGACCGCATTTCTACAGCATTTATTCTACTCTCATGCTTCTTCTGCCAGACCCAACTTTCACTACCATACATTAAAGTAGGGACTAACACAGCATTATGAATTACCATACGTGCCTTATTTGACACATTCTGACTCTTCATAATATAATAAACGGTCACTACAAAAGCGTATACTGAAAACTAAATACTGTATTTTAATAAATATCGTGCGCGTTAAAGTTGGGCCAAAACTTTACTATTATTTGATTATTCTTTTCTTTATTTGCTGCTTCTAAAAAACAATAACAATAACAATAAAAATAATAACAATAACAAAAACAATAGAACAGGAAAGAGTTGAGTTTCTATAATTTTTTTAATTTGTGTTTGGTAGGTTTATAAACAGAGATGGTATCAATTAAGAATTTGTAGTTTTTTAGCATCACATGGAAACAGCAGAATCAATTAAAATAAAATAATTAATTAGCATATAGTTCTATGTTAACATATAGGCAAGTTTTATTGGAACGAAGTTTCTTATCGCACGGATGGGGGCTAGGCGAGCAAAAGTGTAAGATTTTTCCGCCACGACCGCCCTTTCTATAGTTCGAGTGAGATGGAATAATATACACCTTCCTCGTCCTTGTCCTTGTCTTGCCATGAAAGAAATATTATTTTAAATGAAGCTTCATTTTAATAGACGCTAGTAATTCATTTATTTGTATTTGTTAATCAGTGATATAATATACACCTTCCTCGTTTTTTTCTCCACCTACACGTTTATCAATAATAATATACTACGAAAGGAACTTCGTTCCAACCAAGTGTTCCACGACACTCACGCATGTTTTTTTAATTAGTACAGTAGATGCAGTTCTAGCTCTCCCATTAATACTTCCGCATATAAAGTGGAAGTCACAATTCTCTAGTATTGCGGTCTATGACGTACTCTACTCGTATTCTAGGTTAAAATATTATACAAAAGTAAAATATGGGTAATGCGAGTGCAGATTGCGTCAGCGTAGAATTCCGGCAGATTATCTTCTATATTTTCTCGATTTTCACGCTTGTTTCAGTTATTATATAAATAAAAAAGAGCCGTGGTAGCTCAGATGGGTAGCGCTCGCTGTAAGCTTCACAGTACGCGAGCAACCCGGGTTCGATCCCCGCCGGCACCACTGAAATTGTTAATTGCAATTTTAAGTGCTGATTTACCACGTGCTCGGCGGTGAAGGAAAACATCGTGAGGAAACCTGAATGTCTGATAAATAAGAAAACCAATATTTCGAAGACATGTGAAGTTGGCCAACATTACGTCAGCGCGGGGGACATTTTCTTGCCCTAAAACCCTCTCATAAATGAGAGGAGGCCTGTACCCAGCAGTGGGACATAAATAGGCTGCAACTTTACTTTACTTTACTTTATAAATAAAAAATATTTAAAAGACATTTTTCACTTTTATTTAATATTTGATTTTTTTAGAATATAATCGTATCAAATGAAAATACATCGTAGGATGGACATTAAATCGCTATTTTAAGGTGTATTTTGCAAAGATTTCATAATGACACCATATAGAACCTATAGCAAATGTAAAGGCCTATTTTTTTATATTAAGAATAAGTTTTACAAAATACTTTTAATTTCTATCTTATGAACCATCGCGGCTATACCCGCTGAGAGAGAGGTTGGGCGTACGTTTTTTTTTTATAAAATTCTCCCCGTGTAATATAAACTCGCTGGATATTTGTGGAGGCGAGGTAAATTTTCTAGACATCCGTACTGCAAGAGGGCAATAACTAAAGCTATATTTGGTATAAAAATATACAGCTTTGTCTATCGAGATATCAATAGTTCAATAACGCTGAATTGAGTTTAATTAGGATAGGTTTTTTATTAAACTATTGACATCGATTGGGAACATTCAGTCACAACTGCTAATAAATAGTTATAGATACTTCCATTTTTAATTTAAATTAGATTGACTCTGCACCATAATATGTTGGTAGAATGTGTTAGAAATGAGATCGAAAGATGCCAATTTCTTATTTTCCTTATCTTTATGTAAATTATATTGTTCTGGTTAAAAGTATTATTGCTTCCGCAGTGTTAGACGAGATAAGAATTAACTAGTATCTAAGCGTTTAAGAAGATTCTGTTAAAGAAGAATAACAAGAATGCTATTATTACTGTATGTAAAAACTCTACTTAGTAATTAATTCCCTTATTTATTGACAAAAATCTTAAAAGCTAGGAGAAGTATCCATCCAAAACAATTATAAGATTAGATTAAGATTTGACCAAAACAATTAGGTGCATGACGAGTATGCGATTTTGGCACCCGGACCCCACCTTTATCAGCGCGATTCCCCCCAGTGACGTGCAATCGTGACTTACAATTCGAAAGATATATTATCACTGCCGAGTTATGCACTGAGAGCGATTATACGAATTGTATCAATTCGTATATATATGTCGGATTCGTATATATGTCGGAGCGTCTATAAAATATCACTTGGATCGAGGTTCACATGAGGGTATATCGAGAAACCCCCGCTTGTTTGTGCAGTATAAAGTTCACTGTAGGTGCCGTGCGCGGGAGATTCTGCTCAAGTCATTCAACGAGTGCGGTCACTCTACTAGTGCTAAGATAATGTCGTGGTTTTGTAATTACGTACATCACGTTACACTGGTGTGTGATTGTGGCGGAGACGTGTTACGGTGTGGTCGAATTGTAATTTCACTATACAGAATGTATAGTGCGTTACGTTGTCTTATTACTGGTAATGATTAAACTGCGTAAGCAAGAGAGCAAGTTGAACATCCGCTCTGACACTTTTATTTTTAACGGTTAACGCTATCCTGATGTATTTCCGAGATAAAAATTGCGATCCTCTAGTGTAATTCTCCGACATGCTATACTGATGTATTTGCTAGATCAAAATTGTGATCCTCTATTCTAATCTCCGACATATATATATATAATGTAGTGTTTTGTTATATTTACTGTCTGGCCACGTTGGTTGGTTGTCAGTTTTTTTTTTAATTAGGAATTTTTAGTAGCAGTTCTGAGTCAGTTTGCGGCGTTTCACATCCGTGTCTCGCAATGCACGTAAAGCTTTTGGTACTGCACCTGATCTCTCTCCGGTCATGTCAGACTGCCCTTTTATATGACTATGAAAGTGAGGAAATAGAGACTGTGACTGTGTTTGCATACAACTCACTCTGCATACACACGGGCACTATAATCCTGTCCTGTGCAGATGGCTAGTATGCAGGACTTTATTACACTAGGTATGTCCATGTTGCTGACTTTGTTTGAGGTATAAGGAATATTTTGATATATATTTAATTATACATCAAAATCGTAGAGAAATGTCTCCACTTTTATTTCACTGGGCGGGTTGCTATTGTCGTAAGTAATTACATAGTATATATTATTAATATCATATAAATACAATACAAAGGCTTTTGTGTACAGAATGTTGTTGTTTGTATAGTTATAACGCTTAGTTCGATATCATAACAAAAATAACAAATAAATACCTGTAGCTGTCGGACCATGACGGTAATTTGCCCTCTAAAGTTTTACTTATCTCTTCATAAAGCCTGTCCTGTATAGTTTTGTTTCTCAATACGGTTAGCAACGCAAACTGCAGTACATTGCTAGTTGTTTGAGATCCAGCGATAAGGACATCTAAGCATATAATTTTCAGCTGCTCTTCTAAAACAAAAATACGTAGAAGTCCTTTAAATACTGTATGGATTAACAATAAAATAAACAATAATAATACATTTGTGTTCTACATATTCATTATTTATCCAATATTCCGGAAAGTTCTAGCCGTATCAGTATGCTCAAGACAAACAAGAGGTAAAATTAAAAATTTTGTACCACCGACTTCAATATAAATAAAATGAGAACATCATCAATGTAGTCGAATTCTTAAATATGCATTGTTAAGGATAACTCAAAAACTACTGGTTAGATCTTGATTAAATTTATATGGGACCGAGAAGCAATAGCGTTCAAATAAAAAAAGAATCATCAAAATCTGTTAACCTAGAAAACATTAAAAAATAATTGAGAACCTCCTCCGAAACAGGAACAGAAACAGAATTTTTTTTATTCAATATAGGTTATAAACAATACTTATTAAAAGTCGCTCTTTTGTTTAATTACCACTGGTACTAAAAAAACCTCTGTACTGGGAAGAACCAGCAAGAAACCCACCGGGACTTTTTTTTAAATAACAACTACAATCACGTACTCGTATGTTACACAATTAACAACACAACAAATTAGAAATAGCTTGGTAGCTATCACCTCATTCCTAGGGGTTATTATCATCCATAAATTCCTTAAAATCATTATAACCCTTTTTATACGAACTTAGTTTAATAAAGTTTTTAACAGGTCAAATTTTGTATATTTTCTTCTCCTTTTTTCAAGTCGCTTAAAAAAAAGTCTCTCTTTGTGATATAATCCATAACAAAGGACCGTAGTAAAACCAGTGCAACCTAACTTCACCGTGTAGTGGCGGTGTAAATTAATCCTTACTGTAGATATTGTAAGTGGCGATAGAAGAAAACTAAAACACTGGATGGGCAGCAGCATTTTACTGATAATAACCAAAATAACAAAAATCTGGGGTTGCCAATCTGCCTTCTAAGCCTGGCAAATATGAGAGCATCATCAATGTAGTCGAAGTCAATTAAATACGCATTATTAAGGATAACTCAAAAACTACTGATCAAAATTATATGGGACAACATGAGAAGCACCAGCTTTCAAATAAAAAAAAACCATCAAAATCGGTTTACCTAGAAAAAAGTTATGAGGTACACATAAAAATGTACAGTCGAGTTGAGAACCTCCTCATTTTTTTGAAGTCGGTTGAAAAGGTTACAAACACGCACACACTCCACCTGATGGAAGTGGATGTAGTGGCCCATAGACTGCTAAGTCAATCCTTGCTTGAAAATCAAAATTCAATGCATTGCCATTCCTGCGGAGTTTTGACTAATGTCCCATTCCTATATTCAAGAAACATTTCATTTACAACGATCCATTTTATTACATTCTAGGTGTTCAAGTTTGAAACGTATAAACTTCTTATGGATTTTTTAAAGTTTTCATTCGATAATATACATTGAAATATAAACAAATAAAAAACTAAAAATAAAACTTTATTTATCATACAGTCCTACATCCACTGGTATCGTGCCAAGAACGCTGGCTGCGTTTCCTCGCTAAATGCCTATACTTAGCATTTGAGCGAGAAAAGAACCAGCCCTCTTATCACCAGCAGCGACGACCAGTCACAGATACAGTTCCTTTAGGTACTTCAACGCACGTGAACCCCACGGTCCTATAGTCTGTACAGGAAATGGCAAAAATATGTAGTCATCTCTCAGAGACTTATATTAGCGCTACTTACTTCGTTCATGCCTCTGATGCCGCCCGGTTCTAAACGAGGTACCCCTGAGATGAGAGGCTGTCAAAGCGTCTACGCAAGTAGCACCCTAGACTAGGGCTTCCTACCAACTCTCTTCCAAGGGACCAAAGTCATATCGTCGTAAGGTATAAATAAATATATATAATAAGACACGTATAAAAAACATATTTTACGTTTTTAAAATTAGTATCACATTTTATAATTTCGACACCTACATAATATGTATTTTATTTGGTTATAACATTATTAATAACAGATTTGGCTTAATCAGATTAGTTGTAACATTTGCATGTACCTACTTTGATAGCGTAACGTAGCTGTTGTTAATCTTTTTCAATAAGAAGACAATTCATAGACAATAAGACATAAGAATTTTCATTTCTATTAAATTCGATTCATAAAATGACTACTAATACACTGAAACAATCTGATACTACATCTTTAATGACCAATATCCAAATTCAATACATACATATATTGAATTTGGATATTAGTAATACGAGAATTTTTTTTTTATAGGATAAGGGTGACAAACGAGCACACAGTCCACCTGATGGTAAGTGGTTGCTGCGGCCCATATGCATCTACATCTATCCTCTATTACAAATCAAAATGCAGATGCGTTGTCACCCCTGAAGATGGAATACCTCATTTCCAGTAAAAAGGGCCTCCGGCCACCTGCACTCACCAAGCGAAACGCAGAGGTAAACCTCTACTTCACGCTGGTATTCTGTGAGGTCGTGGTACCACCCCGGTTCGAGCCGGCCCATCCGTGCAACAGCAAAAGCTGTCGCGTGGCTAATAACAAATGAATTCCCGTAAATTGTGAGAATGAATGCGGTCTGTTTGAATTACCATATTAATAATAGAATTGTAGTTACAACGAGGGAAAAGGACTTTTGATAATTCATTGATCAACTTAACTATAAATTAGCCATGTTCAATAAATTCTCAGCAAATAGTAGAGATTGTTAGATGCAATAGATTTTTTTAGTGCTAAATTAATTCTTAATTCAATCCACAACTAAAATAAATTGGCAATTTGGTTATCTACATGAGATGGCCTTGATCACTGTTTCAATCAGTGGTCCATATATAATGTGATATTAAGATCTTATTGACCTATTAACGTTCACTAAGATTATATCGGAATAATCGCAAGCAATCAACTGTGCCGTGTAATTGCGGCTTAAGATAATTCACTTCCCCATATTATGTATATGTGTACGTTATCTGATTTCTGATGATGTTTGTGCTGTTAATCTTTTGACATTCACAGATTCATCGGACTCAGCTAAAAAAGGGGTAAATTTTTATTATTCTGCATCATTACTTGCGTAAAGATGACTCTTACGACAGTTTACAGTTCATGTGGATGAGTTATCTAACGGCCGTCAGTACTAGGGGTAGTGGACCCCGGCTCTGACGGCTAACTCTTATCGGTGTGTATGCAATGTGGATGGGTGTGCGGCGCGCCCGTCTGCGGACTCGCTGCGTCCTATCCGCTGTTCTCCTAACAGTGTTTGTGGCACTAGGTGAGTGTGTAGTGTTTATGTGTGACTGGCCGGTGACATTTCGGTCGTCGTCATCTAGCGAAACGGGGGGTTGGATTAGAACGTTACGGGGACTCCGGAGCCTAACGTTCGGAGTCGGAATGTAGGTTTTTTGTATATTTTACGTGGTAGAGCCATGCTGCAGCTATATTACTGGTATAGTTGTAGCACGAATGGGTCGGCTCGACCGGGGAAGGACCACGCTCTCACAGAATACCAGCGTAAAATAGCAGCTTAATGCTGCTGTGTTTAGTATAGTGAGTGTAGAGAACCGGAGACCCTTTTTACTGGAAAAGAGGCATTCCATCTTAGTCCTCACGGGTGACAACGCATCTGCATTTTGATTTGTAATCGAGGATAGATGCAGATGTCTATGGGCCACAGCAACCACTTACCATCAGGTGGACTGTGCTCGTTTGTCACCCTCATCCTATAAATAAAAAGTGTGGCTGCGTTTACCGCTAGTGGGTTGAGATGTGTTTCGGCCCTCTCAAAATAGCGTCGCGACATTTCCTTGAAATACTCAGAGATCGTCGGAAGTTGACAGTCTCTGTGTAATTCGGAGTTTCGCTGGTACCACCGAGCTCCGGTGGTGATGCGAATGAATCTGTTTTGGACGACTTTGAGGTCGTACATGTGTCTATAGACCACGTACGCGAAAACTACGCTTGCGTAACACATGAGAAGTCTTATGTCACGCTTTGTACAGATGGAGCTTGTGTCTTAAAAACAGTTTGCCGTGCAGGATAATCTTACCTATTGATTTCTTGGTATTTTTGTTACGACGCTTGAAATTGGGCATGGTTTGAAAGTGTATTGCTACACGTTTGTCAGGATTCATTTCGATTCTCCATAAGCGGAACCAATCGTCTAAGCGATTGACTGCTGTTCGGAGCATCTCGGTGACGATTATTTTATTATGGTGAACAACGTGTAAAGTGCCGTGTCATCGGTGTAAAGATCGGTATTAACTACTGGGTCCTTCGAGATGTCACTCGTGAAGAGTGTGAAGAGAAGTGGAAAGAGAATGGAGCCTTTTTTATAGGATAGGATGACAAACGAGCACACAGTCCACCTGATGGTAAGTGGTTGCTGCGGCCCATATACATCTACATTTATCCTCGTTTGTGAATCAAAATGCAGATGCGTTGTCACCCGTGAGGACTAAGATGGAATGCCTCTTTTCCAGTAAACAGGGTCTCCGGTTATCTACACTCACCATACGAAACACAGCAGCGTTAAGCCGCTATTTGACGCTGGTATTCTGTGAGAGCGTGGTCCTTCCCCGGTCGAGCCCACCCATTCGTGCTACAACTATACTTCTAATATAGCTGCAGCATGGCTCTACCACGTATGAAACACTTGTGAGACTCCAGCCTTGAGGGGACGTTTTTGGAGCGAGTACCTTCTATTCGATATCGAAAGTGGCGATTGGCAAGAAAGATTTTGATGATGTGGATGAACCTATCGTGCACGTTGAGTTTATACAGCTTGACTGGTTATGAATTAGTAACGAGTTGGAGTCTCAGACGCGATAACATCGAAGTTTAGTCGCCCCGTGAGATCGTCCAATACCATACCATTTGAATTGCTTGTAAGCGAGTTCCAGGAGGAATGCTTTCTGTTGAGGTCTCCAGCTATTATAACACTGGAGCCTAAATTAAGTAATTCTACAAATTCTGATTCGATTATACTTTTAGCGGCGGTAGATA